GACTAACCCTATACAGCACTGGCCACCTGATCCTTCAGTAAACATATTTAACCAAAACGTAGACTAGCCCAATACGGGCACCAACCACCTGATCCTTCAGTAAACATGTTTAAACGAAACGTAAACCATCCCAATACGGGACTGACCACCTGATCCTTAAGTAAACATGTTTAAACAAAACGTAATCCAGCCCAATACGGGACTGATCACCTGATCCTTCACTAAACATGTTTAAACAAAACGTTGTCCAGAAATTCTTCGTCTGTCCAGTACTGATCATTCGATTTAACACTATAGCACGTCAATTCGCCTCCAAACTTGTCCCACCTTTTTATATCAAATATCATTGAATCAATTACTTTTCTTATTGTTAATAAACGTTAGCTTATAAACATTAAGTTCTTTTGCGTTGCTTATTAACCGCCTTATGTGAAAATACCTTTCACCAAACGAAAAAATCACTAATTATTACACATAAAAATTTCGAAAACAAACTTTTTTTTACAACTATTACGTTATTCTTCCCCACTAGAAACCATGTAATTGTTCGACTCGTGTTAGTCAGCTAACAACAGTTGAACGGTAAGGTTTGTTTAACATATATACCAGGAAAGATTGACTGGGTGCGAGGGTTCTCTTATCAGGTGATAATGACACAAACTTTCACCCAGATACGCGCAAGCTTTCAGGTATTTATTGCCTATACAAATACAGACGGACATATATTTCGCACGTACCTGTTCTAGTTAGTTCTAAATTAAATAATAGGTTGAACAATTGCCAAGTTTTTTCTTTTATTTGTTTAATTAACAGAAGGGTGACGTTTCGAGCTAGCGCTGCTCTCCATCAAATTGTACGATCTGATGAAGAGCACTAGCTCGAAACGTCATCCTTCTTTAAATAAAAATTTTAAACTTGGCGATTGTTCAACCTATTTTTTAATTTTGTTGTTTTCGTCGTCTATGCGGTTTTAACTATATTTGTCTAGTCAGTTATAAAACCTACCTGTCAAGGTAGGTTTTAATTGTAAAACCTACTACGAGTAGAGGCAGCGTGGCTTAGTAGGTTCGGCTTTAATCTCTTAGTCGAATGGTTTCGAGATCGAGGATGGCCCACGTCACGCTGTTGTGTTTTTGAACAAGACAATTTACCCCACTTGTTCCAGTCTGTTCAGCTGTATGATAGGTACTAGCTGTTACCTGGGGGTTAACCTGTAACATGCTGCTATCCAGTCCGGTGACAGGTACTAGCTGTTACCTGGGGGTTAACCTGCAACATGCTGCTATCCAGTCCGGTGACAGG